TATTTTGGGCATAAGTGGCCCTAGCGACTATGAGTCATTCTTAAGTCAAGGCTTAGTCGCCCTAGGTTGCGACTTATGCCGAAAACGAGTAACCGTCGATTGAAATGGCAAACACATGTTTGCCTGACCAACAATCCCACTATCAAAATATAAGTTAGAAAAGGCCTGGCAAGCCTTGAATGTCCCATCTGTCCTTACACGCAATTGTCCGCGTAGCCGTGTAGTCGAGTGGAAAGGAGTAAGGGTCTGATCCCGCTGAGGATACCCAAATGAGATATCTTTTTTGGAGGCAAGGATAGATTAAAATTAAATGGAGTCGTGTGATCTACTCATCTCATCGTGGGACTACTCACCTATCACTTTTTAAATTACCTTAAGCAAACTGTAGCGACTCAGATTTTACTTCACCTTTTAGAAGATGGATAACTTAATGTGATGAGGATGAGGTACGGATGGGATGCGCTAAAGACTGAAAGTAGAAAGAAGGAAGTCCATCCATGCCTAATTTTAGAATTCACTCAAAAATAACAGATCAAAACTTGCGATAGTAAGAAGTTTTACTACAATTGATATTGCATTTGCTATTATGATCGATGTATTCAGACAGTGATGTGTGTAGAGAAGAATGGTCTATGAAGTCTGATCGAAAGTAGAATATGTAATGTGAGGGAGAGGTTAACAAAGTGATTAGATTAGTGAGGGAGAGTGCAAACTTATGGTCGCTTAAGGTGATTAATGAATGGATAAGGTCGCCACGGTGCACACGACTCGGTTTTGGATCCCATTAGGGACCTAGGCGAGGTAAAAGCGACATTTCAGTATGGATGAGAAAACATTTTTGCAGAAAAGTCTAAGTGGAGTTCAATGGCACCATTACGCCTCATCATAAAGCCAATCAATAGCGGCTTAGTTGACTAATTTATTATTGAAGAGGTACCGATAGATTCGAAACGAAATATTCCATTTCATTTCTTTGAATATGATCCATTCAAGATTTGCTTAAATTTGAAAGCTGGAAATCTAGTTATTTTGTATTTAAAAGGACGTTAGTCCCCATGAGTTCAAGTCGAAGCAACTTCTACTTAAGTTAGTTCCCCCAAAGCACAAATGAGAAGTAAGGGAGGTTTATACTGCTTTGGAGATCGCATTTGCTCTGCAACCCCATCTCCTCCGAGCATTTTGGCCGAAAACTCAGCGTGTTGCCACTATAAATACGCGACTCGCCCTCCACTTCGGTCCCACAATGTTAGAATACCTTTTGGGAGGTATGAATATGTCGGTTCGTATTACGTAGGCTTTTCATATCCTTCTGGGGAATATAACTGCCAGGAAGTGGATCGCAAAAATGATCCACTAGGACTGAAGGTACCATATAGATTCATTTAAAGTGGCGAGAACTAGTAAAACACCAATTGTTACAATAAGCTGCTTCAAAGAGGTAGCCGGATTTATTGTCCCCCAAATCTCAATAACCCCAGGCGGCTCTAAGTGATTACGAGATTGACAGTTGAGCTTTCTCCCAATGAAAAAAGTGGGCCTCACGAAGCCAACACTTTTGCTAATATTTTAATCATGTTGGATTATGAGACTATCAATAGATCTTAAATGAAGGCCTTAGTCAGCCTAAATCGTTTAAGGTAATGAAGAATTGTTAGATGAGTTTTTCCCCCAATGAGATTACAAGGTCTCATGGTGCAATTTGAGTTAACTTAACATTGCTTCCAAAAAGCATTATCATTAAAGCTTTCGATATCGCCTGGGTTTGATCATCACCTCAAGCGGGAATCGAATCCGTTGCACAGCCAAGTGTTCCTGATGGCCATAGGGCACATTTTAATATTCGATGATGCAAACAGGTAGTTGGAATTGCAATTGACGATGCTACCTATTTTTCGAGGCTATCAATCATGTTTGAATAAGACCTTTTTCTCAATCGCCTATAACTGGGCATTCTGCTAGTGCATCCCTACTAAATGGGAATATAATATTTGTGAATGGTTTTTCAGCTTATCAGTAATTGTTGAATAAAAATTTTGTCAACGGTTCCCAGTCTTGTTGGGGGTATTGAAGAAATGGAGACTAGTTCTAAACTGCAGCCGAGTCCAGCCTGGAAGGTCAATTCCGTTGCCCCGCAACGGAAAGTCGTTCACTTGAATGTGGGCTAAACTTCGCTGGTACTCTTTCGATTACCTGATGCAACCCAGCGTAACCAAGTCACTATTTAGAGACATAAAATAACGTGAAATAAATGCATCCAATTTCATCGAAAAATAATGACAAGTATGCTACCTGGTAGAAATGTGGCTGTGAGACGATAACCGGAGCCCCTTGTAGACATGGGCCCAAATTGAGTACGCCAGACTTGAGGCAGTTCGGATAGGTGGGACAGAAGCCCTTGTTGTCGGGATTGAGCAGAGGCGACTCGAACAGGCTGGTCGGTGGAAGGAATCGCAGCGTCTGGAGGCCAAGAAACCGAACGGTTTCCGTCGCTTCCAAGTGGATCGAGCGGCAGATGTCGGGGGAGAAGATGTATATCCTGTCGGCAAGACGTAGACCTGGCGAAAACAGAGTTCCGTCAGTGCCGTTTATTTGATTCGCCGGCCCAGAAGCCCACCAAGTCAGTTGAGAGTGATTCTGGAAGGCCATAATCTTGCCTAAATGTGCCAGAGATCTGGCGCCGTCGTCTATCACATATTCTCCCGCCCGAGAGCCATTCTGGCCAACGAATAGACCCAGCTTAGTGGCGTTTCCAAACGGTCGGATGCCGAAATTAGCCAATGCTGCCAACAAACGGTCTTCGTAGCCCCAGATCAACTCGGCCACCGTAAGCTTTACGAAAACTTTCTCCCTAAGGGCCGATTCTAACGTTTCAACTATGAAATCAACTATGGCTGACTGATTTTTGAGCATATTAGCTACCGTTATGTAAGCTATGTTGAACTGAACCAGAACGTCGGATTCGGTGCCGTTGGAGAGGTCAGCCCGAAATTGATATAACTTCTGCTCAGTGTAGTAAATTTCACCTTTTGCAGGGTCAGCGAATACATTCAACTTCTCTCTCTTCTCTTCATACGTGTAGGGCCCGAGCTGTTTAACCACAGGTTTTTCACCCTGCTTTATACCGTCGGCATTAAGCAAGCTGAAAAGGTAGAACTGAAGAAAAATTGGCACTGGTGGATCCAGCCAAGCCTCGTAAAGTGGAGAGTCGGAGTGCAGATGTATACGTTTGCTAATCT